CTTTAAAATAAAAAAACTATCATTAATATTCCTACAAAGGTAAAGGAAAAAATTTCATTCATATAGTATAACAAAATCTTATGCAAGAAGCATTCAGAGAATAAGAATGTGCTCATGGAAATTATAAATGATAGAAATTTAAAAACTTAGTAGACGGCTTAGAATGATACATCAAGAATACTTCCTAGAAAATAGAATAAGCAAAGACATGGTATAAAGTGAGCAAAGTGCCCTTCCAAATATATTAAAAGATCAATATATTAGAGGTCTGATATAATACGATTTCCAGAAAGAAACTAAGACTATAAAAGATAAAATTAAGAAATATTTAGAAAATTTCTCAGAATTGAAAGGCATGAGTATTTAAGGAGCACAGAAAAATATAAAGCAATGTAACACTCACTATGAAGTTTCAGAACATTAGGGCAAATAGAAGACCTGTAAGTTTTCAGAGAGAAAAAAATAAGATCACTAACAAAGGATCAAAAATAAAAAATGCACTGGATTTTTCTTTTTTTTTAAAAAAAGATTTTATTTATTTGACAGAGAGAGAGACAGCGAGAGAGGGAACACAAGCAGGGGGAGTGGGAGAGGGAGAAGCAGGCTTCCCGCTGAGCAGGGAACCGGATGCGGAGCTCGATCTCAGGACCCTGAGATCATGACCCGAGCCGAAGGCAGTTGCCCAACCGACTGAGCCACCCAGGTGCCCCTGGATTTTTCAATATGGGCATTTAGAAGAAAATGGAGCAATACCATCAAAATATCAATTAAAGAAATGATTTCTAACCAAGAAATCTATATTCAGGCAACCTATTAAATGTGAGGGTAGAATAAAGGTATTTTCAGATATAAAGTTCTCAAAGAAAGTATGCATCCTGAACCCTTCCCCAGAAAGTTACCACATGGTGTACTCCAAAATGAGGAAACAAACCAAGAAGGAGGAAGGCATAGAATCCACAAGACTAGAGAATCAACATGAGGGAGAGAGAGAGAGGAGTATTCCCAGAATGATGATGGTGAAGGTATCATTCCAGGATGCCAACTGCTAGGATGCAGGAGTAGAGGATGCAAATATTTTGTAAATACTTGGATTTATCCAGGATCTGGAATTTTTCAAGTAAGAATGATAGAGAAAAGAACATGTGAGTTGAAAGTGGTAGAGAATTATTATAATGTTAAAAAACTGAAACCATTTTGGACCAGCAGGTAGGTGTGGACTAGAGTTGATGATAGTGAATAACAAGATCAATGGTTTGGAGGTCTCAAAGACGTAGGGAAAGGTTTTTTAAGAGAAAGAACTAGTATGAATGAGCTAGAAGGACAGGAGGTGCTAGTCAGAGAGTTTATAAATGATCAAACTGTCAGAGAAGAAATGGTTACTAGTGATGCCAAGAAAGGGTGTGGCCAAGGGAAGGAAATATGGCAGTCAAGTAATTAGAGCACAGACACTGGAGTCATTTGCACGAACATTGAAGTCACCCACGAGTGTGATAGAACTAGGGGTATAAAGAAGGAAAGTCAAACAAGAACTAAAGTATTTAATGAATGGAGGGAATGAATCAAGAGAAATGACCTATAGATTTATAACTGACAAGAGCTAGAAAGGGTGGAGGATAATATATCCACATGGCATGGTCTTCATGGGGCATTTTTGTAGAAAGGACACACCTACTTCAAAACCTCAGTTTGAAGCACAAGAAGGTTAGAAAAAAAAGACAACAGCACTTAGATAGGAATAAGAGGAAGTATCCATAGATGTCTAGCTTGAGTTAAGGCAAGACAAAGAATACAACTTTCAGAGATCAGGTTGTTGACACAAGGGAGTTTTCTGATCAAAGAACAGGAGTAGAAGCTGGCAGAGTAGAAGACAATGGACAAGGTGGGGGAATTGACCAAGCTAGGGAAATCACAAGATGTGGGAATTGCCAGAGAACCATAATGGCAACAGAGGACAACAGAGAGCACTGTTCTATGGTGATGCCTGAAGTAATCAGATGTAAAGCATAATGGAAGTCACTGTGATAGTCTCAAAGGATCCTAGGCTTTGGTTCCATGAGTAGTCTTTTTACTCAAAGTGTGGTTTCAAGACCAGCAGCCTTGACCCATTTAAGAGCTTATTAGAAATACAGAATTTAAAAAAAAGAAGAAGTACAGAATCCTAGGTTCTACCCAGATGTAATGAATCAGAATCTGCATTTTAATAAGATCCAGTGTGCGCAATCAAGCTTGACAAGCATACTCTAGCTATTTACCTCTAAGATACAAGGCACTGTTTTTTCCCTTCTTGTTCCTCGCAATGGACCCACTGCAGACTGAAGGTGTTGACTCATCATGGACTGTTTCTTTCCAAAATATCATTGTCAATCATTACTAGATGTAAACTTCTTGAAGGACCATTTTGTGTATCATTAGGTCCTGATGCCTACTACAATCACAAAAATACCGATATTTCCTGAATATCATTAAATATTGAAGAGCAATAGTGACTACACCTGTGTGCAGAAAAAGCTCTTCTCCAATGCAGGTGGACTGATAAGTGACTGACAATTTGAAAAATGTAGTTAAAATAGAAAGCCATAAAAAGAAGATATGTATCAACTATTTTTAACTTAAAACACACACATTCATTCCTACACTTGTATGTATATTAATTTCTTCACAAACATTCCATTGAAAGGCCAAGGCCTTTTGAGTTTGAATCAGTTTATGAGAATTATGCAACATCTTTCCTGCACAAACCACACTAACAATACATTGTCTGAAGATCCTTTGTTTTGCTTTTTTAAAAGTAAATTGGAAGCAATTTGAATGCAGAATCTTCTGAGATATTTGTTTTCTCTTTCATAGTTCTCATCCACACATAACTTAGCATTTTTAAAAAATAATTTGGCTTTTTTTGTTGTTTTCCCAAACCATTCAACCAGCTCCCTGTATCTTTGCATTTATATTTTGATGGCTTACATAGTATTTAATTAAATTGTCTAACAGTAAGGTCAATTACCTGGCAATATAGGGGCTTAAAAGTTCATCATTATTGGTTGTAATAATAGGCAATTTTAGTATATTGCTTATTTTCTCTTGTAGCTAGTCACATCTGGTTCTAAGTGAGCCCACCCATCAGGTTAACCCTAGCAGGTTTGGCAGTGAGCTTACCAATCTAGAGTTCTCAGGACTTAGTCCTCTGGAATGAAGGCAACATGCCAGGTCTTGTGAAGCAATTAGACCATTTGCCATGGTCACTTGAAATTGAGGAAAAGCTCCACAATTTCACACTTGTGTGTATTCAAGTCTCTCAGGTAGATGGCAACCAGACTCCATGAATAGATTCCTATTAGCATTGTTTCAAAATTATCCTGAAGGGTAAATTCCTAATGAAATGAATTATGTGACACTTGAACAACAGTCTGAGGCTCCCAAATCAGGTAAGAAGGACTCTACCTTTGATGCATTTAATACAGTCATAATAAAACCAACTAATCTAAATAGATTTTGGTTGAGTCTTGACATGACAACACATGCCTAATACACAGAGGGCACTCGAATTTTTTTTTTAAATATGCTTTATACATTTTCATTTACAGAATATCTTTGAGGATTTGTTTTGTGAGATATAATGAACTCTAAGAGCAGTATTTGCTCCTGGATATTTACTCTAGGGTAACAAATTGAGAAACAGAAATTGTGCATGTGAGTGGGCATCCGTGTATCTTTCACAATACATATTAGTATTTAGCTATAGTAGTAAAAATACCTTTACTTATTAAAGAAATACCAAATATGAATAATAAGTTGTCACGTCATGAAATATAAATCATAATGTTACTATGCTATTTCAAAAAAATTTTTTTTAGGGGCGCCTGGGTGGCTCAGTCAGTTAAGCATCTGCCTTCGGCTCAGGTCATGATCCCAGGGTCCTGGGATCGAGCCCCGCATCAGGCTCCCTGCTCTGCCTGCTTCTCCCTCTTCCTCTGCTTATGCTCTCTCTCTGTCAAATAAATAAATAAAATCTTAAAAAAAATTTTTTTAAAGCAGGGAGCCCGATGCAGGACTCGATCCCAGGCTCCTAGGATCATGACCTGAGCCGAAGGCAGACACTTAACTGACTGAGCCACCCAGGCTTATGCTATCTCAAAATTATTTGTCTTTCTGCTCCATAAGATCTAAGCTCAAAGGCATTATAAGATTCATTCTGCCTACCATAACTTTGGGCACAAGTTAGACATATAATAAATGTTAGTTGAATTGAAATAAATGTTGGCATTGTAATAAATTAAAGAATGGTTTTGTTTTTTTTTAAGATTTCATTTATTTATTTGAGAGAAAGAGAGGGCATGCATGTGAGTTGGGGAGGAGAAGAGGGGAAGGGAGAAGGAGGGGAAAGAATCTTCAGCAGACTCTGCACTGAGTGCAGAGCCTGACACTGGAGCTCAATGCTGGGCTCAACCCCACAACCGGAGATAATGACCCCAAGATCGTGACCGGAGCAGAAACCAAGAGTCAGTTGCCTAATCAACTAAGCCAACCAGGCGTCCCAAGTCCCCAAGAATGCAGGTCTTTTAATGCAAGTTCAAAGTTACAAACAATGAAGTGAAGGAACCAATAATTTTAAAATATTTTCTTTTGTACAACTGAGGCTCAGCAACATTTAAAATATGAAGCCAATCATACTTTACTTCTTAAATAAGAATACAAGAGATCTCTATATAAAATGGACCAAAAAGAAAAGTGTTAAATCTATGTAGCCATCACATTTTTAAAAAATTACTCTATTAGATGCTCAAGGAATATCAGAAATTAGTACAAAATTTTCAAAATATCTAACATAGAATCCTCCACTCCCCATTTTTTATGCCATTACCACAAAATACTTGAGTTTTCCTTAAGAAATATCTGACGGCTCTACAATAGGTACTTAAATTAAGTATACAAAATTCATGCCCCCCCATCTAATATGAATTATATATTTTATCCAAAAGAAGAAAGAAATTTAAATCAAGTAATTACAACAGTGATAAGGATTCATTTTATTGTGTTTTCCACATAGAAGGATTTTTTTGATGAAAAAAATCTTTTACAAAGACAATCTAAATTGAATCAGTAACAAATAAAATTTAGCTTTTAAATGAGTCAAGTATTCTGCATTTGAAATTCAATTTCACAAACATTCAAGATTAGTGAATTTGGTAAGAAAAAAGGACTAGCAGAAAGGAAAAAGACACCTTTTCAACAGATAGTACTTTACAGTTTTTTTTTTTTAAATATTGCTTTGGGAAAACACACAGTATAGTTATTTAAGAAATATCTTTTAAGCAAGATTTAAGTGCTTTAAGTCAAGTGGGCTTCAGACTAAAAAATATTTTAAAATTTGCCAAGATACTGAAGTGTTAAAAATATTCTCCTTAATCATTTAATTTCATGTTTAAGGAAACCTATGACAGATAAGTAAACAAAAGGCAAAAAAGTTTACTTGCATTTTTATATAATAAATTCTAGATCTATAAAAATTTCCTGGTTTATACACAAAGGCCAATGCTTGACCTTCACTGATCCATTTCTACGTAGTTAAAAAAATATGGTATCAAATCTTTCTCCCTCCCCCCAAAAACTAGAAGAAATATTTTAAATTGTGAGTGTGTGAATGGAGCTATGCATATCTTTAAGTGTACAAAACACACATATATCACTTTACTTAGAAAATTATTTTCATCATACTGTAAACATCTCTTCCCCTACATCTGGACATTTCAAAATAGTCTTTGGTATTATTAGTTATTGTGCTTTGAAACGGAAACTTAAAAGATTTCTGTAGCAGTGCTACATAGACATTTTAAGATATAAATAAGAAAAATGCACTTGGAATAAGTTACAATTAGCTGCTTTTGCATAATTTTCAAAAACTACAGTGTATGCCTAGTCACAGTTTTATGAGAAAGAATATCTCCTTTTTCAACTCCTTAATTTTAAGGAACACTTAATCATTTTGGCTAAAAATCCATTTTTGGAGTGGATCTGATGGATTGCATGACACCAAGCTCGGATGCTCTCCATTTGCTGAAAGGCACATTTTTAAGAATGGATTATATAGAAGTTGATCCTAGAATAAAAGGAAACACAACAGACATTAAATTTCAAGACTCATGGTTAACTGATAAATATGAAAACTACATTATGGTCTCATCGAAGCTAAAGGAGACTCACATACCAAAGGTACACAGTTAACTTTTAATCTTTCTCAGATCAACCTTGTCTTGATAAAATCTTGTTGGTTTCTGGTATGAACAATACCATTTATACCACTACTTTTCAGTTCACAGGAGGTATTACATAAATAAAGAGATGTATAAAGAGTAAGGTCTGAATCAAGTTTTCAAATAAGAACCATTCCATTGGTATATCCATAAGTGACAAACTCTTTTTATAAGTTATAAAAATCAGTCTTTTAGTGTTCTAGTATGGCACAGAACAATTTTTAGGTAAGAATTGCTATGTTCCAGCTAAGCCTTAACACATATATTTAAAAACAGGAAGGATCTTTTTTGTATTCTCTCAATTCTAAATTCATTTTAAAAAACTACTGAAACAGGAGAAATGAATCACTTTAGGTGAGAAAAAGATAATGATTTTTTTTGTCTCTCTGCCATTATAAAAAAAAAAATATGTGACTGTTGCCAGAAGAATTGTAAGAGACTCTAAAGAGACAAATATGAGCAACTATTATTAATAATTTACAAAAGTGTTGATCTGTATAAGTTATGCTTTCATTAAACAACTTGTTTCTAAGAGTATTGAATTCATAGATACATTCTCTCATCACATTGGTAGACATACACAACAAAGTTAAAAAAGAGAAATTCTGATGGATAACATTAATAATGCTATGTTTCATGCATTTTCCCAGATAAGCAATTAGAGCTAATCAAAATAATTATAGAAAGGGGTGAATTAATTGCACTGATGTACCTTCTGGATCTCCCATATCTGTTCTCCACTGGCCACTGTCCTGTGACCTTTGTAGGCACACGCTCTCAGCTGAACAAGACCTTGAGCAGCATGAAGACATAATTCCCTCTGGATGTTATGCCGAATTTCATGTTGAGCCGAGTATTCAAAATACTGTGAAAAGAAGAATGCTATTACTGACCTGTATCCTCACCCTGTATCCTCAGCTGCAAAATAATGGTCCAATAATAGTAATTAAAAAAAACCCAGCAACTCACTGAATAATGAAGTCATGTGTATACACTCAACAAAATAATATAATAAAAATAGATATTAGAAATATAAGCTGAGCTTTTACAACAGCAGATGCTATAACCCTTTTCTAGCCTATCACCACAGGTAGTTACATAAAAAAGTAATGTCTCCCGCCCGTGTCAGAAGTGGGAATTTATCAGGTGGAATGGAGGTTAGCTAGGACAGGTACGTCTCAGAAAAGGACCTGGAAACTTCTAGCAAGCACATTAACTGCCTCTTCCTCTCCACAAGTGTTCCTTCTCTCTTATTCATCTCAATTAATGGCATTTTCACTTACACTAGGAACAATTAAATGAGGTAATCTCCATGTCTCAGTTTCCTTGCCTGTAAAATGGGTAATTTAATAGTTTTCCTGCCCCACAGGGTTATGAGGATAAAAGGGCTAACATATGTATAACACTCAGAAAAATAACTGGTACATGGTAAGCTTTTAATTCATCTTAGCTGTTATTACTAGGATTAATGTTTCTCTCTCCCCATATGTCCAATTAATTAATTAGCCCCTTAGTTCCACTGAATTTCCCTATCAGATGTCACCATTGTACTTTGCTCTGTACCTCACTTCTCTTTTTCCAGCACTCAGAATCTCTACTGTAGTACTTCCAGCTAACCTGCAATTTCTATAATTTCACTCGGCTGCCAGTTAGTCTTTCATAACACTGATTTGATGTCCTACCTCCCTTACTTGAGTGAGTCACTACTGTTGCTAAGAGGAAGTCCACACTCCTTAACTAGTACATGAGCTCTTCCATTTTCAATCTTACATCAACCACTACCTGAACTCTACACCATGCTCTTTTCAAACAATTTTACCAATGTAGAACATATGCATCCATAAGTCTAAGACTGCTTTACTGTGCGCTGACTGAAATATCCTTCTGAATCCTTCTCTGCCTAGCTAATTCCTTTTTTATCCTTGAAAAGCCAAATCAAATGTTACTTTGCTTCTTTAGTTTCCCTGAGCTTGTCCTACTGAACAAAATTACACCCTTTTCAGGGTTCCTATAGTACATCAGAAATAACTTTTATAGCACTCTATTGGAATTGTGCGTGTAGCTAGCTGGCTTCACCACAGACCAAAGCCAGGCAGCGTATCTAGTAATAACATCCATTACAAATCAAATATTCCATAATGTTGACACTCTAAAGGCAAAATAAGTGAACATAATGGATTTTCAATAATGAAATAATTAGTCTTAGCACTAAAATTTATTGAGCCCTTATTATGTGCTAAGCAGGGACTGTTTTCAACCCTTTATGTGTATTGGAGTAGGCACTCCACAAACATTAGCTGAATTAATCTTGAGTTCCCCTGGTCTTGGCCTCATGCTTAATTTAGCTCCTTCCACAAATATATCCATCATTTTTATAACCTGATAGTTCTTCAGATGGAGACACTGAATGAAAATGAGTGTAGATCATGAAAACCGCATTTTGGCTATACTTCTTCAAGAAAGATAAATCTTAGGATATCAAAGGTGGTAGGAAAGTCTGTCCAATATTTTATTTCACCCACATTATTAAAAAAAAATCATTAAAAGGCAAGTTATAAGGAATAGGAAGTAGTTGAAGATACTTAGGCAACCAAAAAGAATATGTAGTTAGCTCCCTGGGAACACTGGAGACATAAGCTAGAACCAGGACAAATACCCTGGAATAGGAAGCCAACGAAGCAAAGCACTAAGTGTTACAAAGTCATAATGACTTACACTGCCCTGCACCAGTATATTGGTCTGTACAGTCACATTATCAAAATACTTACTATTACTTGGCATATACAAATACTGTTACAATGGAGTTTCATGTTATACAAATATCATTATCTGCTCAAAACAGTAAAAGGGAGCATAAAGAAATGATCAAGTTGGATGATATCTCAAAAACGCTTAGCACTCAAGGAACTAAAATTTGCAGAGCAGTTTAAAGGCAATGTTTGACTGAAAAAAAATTTAAAGGAAATAAACCAAAAAAAAATTGATGGCTATATTACAGTGCTAGAAATCAGAAGACTTTTTTCTTAAAATATAAACCGGGAAATACTATTCTCCTGCTCAAAACCCTCAGATGGCTTCTGTCACACTGAGAATTAAATCCAAGTTCCTAGGGGAGGCCTGCAAGGCCTTCTATGACCAGGCTCCTTATCTACGTCTCTGACCTTGTTTCCCACCCTGTCTTCCTGGACCACTCTGCTGCAGACACACACTAGCTTTCTGACTCCTTCACTGACCCGCCACCGGCCTCTAGCCTTGCACTCCCTCTGCCAGGACACGCCCCTCCTAGAACACAGTTCCTCTTCAATCCCTTTAGGGCTTTGCTCCAAGGTCGCCTTCTCAAAGAGGTCTTCCTGAACCTCTGAAAACAAACCCCTCTCCCACTCCCCAGGTTCACATTAACCACCTATCCTGCTTCATGTTTATGCCCAAAATTATGTATTTTTTTTCTTTTCCTTCAAGATCACAAGCTCCACAAGGTAGAGATTCTGCCTTTTTCACTACGGTAACACTGCAAGTGACATTATAGTCTCTAAACAAATATTTATTGAAAGAATATGTGACCTACTTCTCCATTCCCAAGGGAATTTTTAAAAGACAGCTATATTGTATTTATAATTTACAAATTATTTTAGAGACAAGACTATACAAACATCTTTATGGCAATGACAAGAGAAAAACATAAAACAACATATATTTTCAACTTTTATGATAAAATAAATGTAATGCTAGAGGAAGCCTGAGGAAAGTCTGTAAGTATTTATATTTAGTGATAAGATTTTTTACAAATGACAAAATAATTCTCATTGTCCAAAACCTTAATTTTAACTAGCATAGTCCAGTGTTATTTCCAAAAGAATGTGATTATTTATATAATTATTTTTCTTTTAATATATA